AATCTGCAGTTGATACTTCTTCCCCGCGGTACCCGTAAGGGTATAGTCACACGTGGTAGCCTCGGTTAAAGCTTGTGCGGGCACCTTCCACGGCTTTTGCAATTTGGTCAGATCAACTGCCGCTTCGCCGCACTTCGGGTCTTGTGAGCCCTGATCCGGAACTGAAACATATCGAAATATCAAAAGCCACAATCGAAGCTACCGTGCTAGCGTACGATACAAATCAAAGTGCATTTACGATCCCAGTTGTAATTGATCATCCTTGTGGGACATTGCTGTCATTGATGAGAGATCACGGACGTTTTCATCTACAATGTGAATGTGATAAATGATTGAGCAAATGACCAGTGGTCACAATTCAACTCTGGGTATTTGACTGGTCGGTTGTGCGAAAGATTCATCGAGCTGCACCGCAAAAATGATTGAGATAATTTCAAAAAATTCTAGATTGCCCCATGCATGGACGCGCATTAGAAAAGAGCTGTAGATTAGCACATAAGTGAAGTTTCAGACACGAACTTAGAAGAAAAAGATGAAAACAGAGGTGCACGTTGATGATTTGAGAAATGAATAAACGTTGTCGTGAGCAGCACTGAAGCAAACTAAAACCAGCAATTGTAAACATCACATTGAGTGACAGACCAACCTGAATACTGATTTGCATTCACAAACCGACGGCAATAGAAGCACGGACAGACACAGACGTATTGTTCTATATTTAACTATACGGATAAAGTTGACTGATACTTTCCCAGTTCTAAACATTCTCGAATCGAAAGAAAGCATACTCCGCATTTGTATGCTTGTGTGTACGTGCGTATCCACGTATATGTGAACGAGAAACTAAACCGCCGCCAGTATTGCTGTGCTTCCACGCAAATCATTTGGTCGCGTACAATCGCCGCACTTTCCGTGCAATTATACGGTCGCATATGAACACATTTTGGTGCATAGTGCATTCAATAACGTCAGGTTCGCACGAAACGACTTTATGTCTCATCCAGTCATTAACTCGGCAGCAATCGTACAGAGCACACCAATGACAACCCAGATGTACAAGGTAATCCACATTGCACGAGAATGATTGCATAGGCATATGATCGAACATTCTGATCTGGAATCGCACTGATCATGGTAGGCGCAGTGCATTGCACTTGTGGATGAGTATAGTTTAGCAAGTCAAACATAGTCTGAGAAGATAAGAGAAATTCACCGACGAACGATCCATCAAACAGTACATATGGAAGCCAACAAAGCATAGCATCGTGAGACCGGAAACAGATGTTATCAATGCGGACTGCGCGAGTTCATCCCTATGTCGCGCGTGAGATTCCCTTGCGAACCAAAACATGTGGTGGTGGCTGACTGGCACTCAACATATGCAAATGCACACCATTCAGTGCAACTCACCTTCCGTTATTGTGGCCGTTAGTGAATTTGTGGCTGCATTATCCAATGAAGATTTGAACTTCACCTTGATCTCGTGTGATGTCGAAACTAGTGGCTGTTGCGGAGCGTTTGTGCCGCATACCTTGTACGTGTCACCATCGAATTTGCCGTTAAAGCTAACTTGAACGAAATCTTCGGTGCATGTGTCACTTGTTCCGACCTAGTATCCCAATCAAAGATAGATCAATAAAAGATCGATGAGAACGATGAGAAATTATCTGACTGTGATATCACACTCGATTGATATTGCGAGAAATGGAAGTTGGCAAAGACTCACTTTGAGTTCGGTAATCTGCAGTTGATACTTCTTCCCCGCGGTACCCGTAAGGGTATAGTCACACGTGGTAGCCTCGGTTAAAGCTTGTGCGGGCACCTTCCACGGCTTTTGCAATTTGGTCAGATCAATTGCCGCTTCACCGCAGTTTGCAGTTTGGGCGGATATTGTTTGAACTGAAATCGAATAAATAACCTTTGCTTATTCGAATATCGTCTTGCTCAAAATGATCTGTTTCACATATCATTCGTTGAGTCCTTCGTTTTATTCATTCGGCTGCTCACTAAAATATCCTCTGATTACACACAATACATAAATACCCTGTTTTTGTTTCTTCACAGCCTTCGTAATTACAACAAGAATGATGGTAACAGAGAAAACGTTTTCAACTCTACAACTGCGGTTGTTTGCGTTTTTGATGTTTTATTTTGGTTTGCGACTTGCTTCGAAATTGTGAAAATCTTTGATATCACAAGTCACATTGAGTCCAGCTTGATGAATAGACCAACATACCTGCCACATGGAGTATGAACACGGTCACAATTGTTTTATCGAACATTGCTGATTTCTCATCTGCTGACAAAATGATCTTCCACTGTCATATTTATATCTCACTCATATGTCATTCTTTCATCTGATTGGTTGGTCAAATCTAACTCACTTGATGATATGTTTGTGTCGCTGTATCACGTCGATTGAGTGCTACATTCCACAGATTGCTGAGGGTCAGTATATTATCACATATTCAGAATGATGGCGTCAATGACGCTATTGTTTTATGCAAAACAGCTTTATTTAGTTTATCAATCTGAATATGTGCAAACAACCGCAGTTGTAGAGTTGAAAACCTTTTCTCTGTTACCATCATTCTTGTTGTAATTACGAAGGCTGTGAAGAAACAAAAACAGGGTATTTATGTATTGTGTGTAATCAGAGGATATTTTAGTGAGCAGCCGAATGAATAAAACGAAGGACTCAACGAATGATATGTGAAACAGATCATTTTGAGCAAGACGATTTTCGAATAAGCAATAAAACCTTCAATGTTCTGAAACATGGGGATCATACAACATACACGGTGTTCAATCCGATCCCCACGTCTTCCAAAATGCTCGTCGTTTGAACAAAAGACTGCAAACATTCTCACTTGCGCATAAAATATCCGGTTCTTGATGATTGGAGAATATAAGGATCACAAAACGGTTACCGAATATTAGCGCTCCCGTCTAGTTGATTCCCAACAGGCAATGACACACGCAAGTAAGCAAGTGCCACGATAGATGCATGCATAACTAAGACAGAAGGAATCACAAACTGAGTCTTCAGTCAAATGCTTCGAGCGTTCTCACACAATTGGTGGTAATGAAACGATCCCAAAAAATCGAAAAGCGTATGGCACGAAATCAGCACATACCCAACGGGTTCCGAAATATATTAAAAAGGTCATTCATTCGATTTCAGTTCAAACAATATCCGCCCAAACTGCAAACTGCGGTGAAGCGGCAATTG